TGTTCTTTGTCAGATAAATAATTTCACCCCTTGCAATAATTAAAGCAAAAGAAATAGACATACAGATTAAAAAGAAAGTAGCAAAGCTTCCTTACTTATAGATGGTATAATTTTTGTGTGTGTGTGTATAAAGTCCTCAGACATTTTAAAAAAATTAGAACTAAAAATTAGAATGTAGCAGGGTTGCAGGATATAAGGTCAATGTACAAAAATTAATTGTATTTTATATGTTAACAGAAAACAATGGGAAATTAAAAATTATGACAAAAATGTAGTCACAGATAACATTGTATGTTTTATCATGTATGATATGGTGTTTTGAAGTATATATACATTGTGGAATAGTTAATTCTAGCTAATAAATGTTTAACTTTACACGGTTACCATTTGTTGTGGTGAAAGCACATAGTATCTACTCTCTTTACATTTTTTTGAGAGTATGTCTTCCTTAATGACAGTTACTTTGCTGTACATCTCTTGAAATTTATTCCTCCTCTTCACCTTAATTGTGCATCCATTTATCAACATCCACCTGCCATCCCTTTCCCTTAATTCCTCTAGTCTCTGGTAATCAAACACCACTATAGTTTCTGTTTCTGTGAGATTGTTTTTTTAGTTTCCGCATATGAATGAGATCATGCAGTATTTATCTTTCTGTGCCTAGTTCTCTTAAAATAATGTCCTCCAGTTTCATCCGTGTTATCACAAATGACTAAATTTCCTTCTTAAATGTTGAATAGTATTCCATTGCACATATGTACCACATTTCCTTATTCCATATTTTGGCTATCATGGAGAGTGCTGCAATGAACATGAGTGCAGATAACTCTTTGAAAGACTGATTTCATTTCCTTTGGATATATGTATATCCAGTGCTGGATCATATGATAATTCTATTTTTAAGTTTTGAGGACACTCCATACTAGTCTCCATAGAGGCTATACTAATTATCATTTCCACCAACACTATGCAAGCGTTCCCTTTGCTTCACATCCTTACCAATACTTGTTACCTTTTTTTCTTTTTGATGATAACCATTCTAACTAGAGTGAAGCACCACTTTATTATAATTTTGATTTGCATTTCCCTTATGATTAATGATGATGGAAAAAAATAACTTTGGCCTTTTATCTCGTACTATATAAAAGTCATTTAGGAAGGATAATAATCTAAAGATATAAAGCTTAAATTGACCTTCAGTAGGACTTTCTTCAGTGTTAGAAAGTGCTTATGCTTGCATCATCCAATACAGTAACCAGTTGTGACATGTAGTTACTGAATATATGAAATGCAGCTATGCAGCTATTGCAGCTTAGAAACTTTAAACTCAGGTGGCCCCTGTCTACAGTATTGGACAGTACCATTCTCTAAGAACACAGGAGAAAATCTTCATGTACTAAATGTAGACAGATGTTCTTTAGTTGGGACACAAATATATTAATATTTGAACCCTAGAAGAGGCCGGTGCCGCGGCTCACTAGGCTAATCCTCTGCCTTGTGGCGTCGGCACACCGGCTTCTAGTCCTGGTCCGGGCACCAGATTCTGTCCCTGTTGCCCCTCTTCCAGGCCAGCTCTCTGCTGTGGCCCGGGAGTGCAGTGGAGGATGGCCCAAGTCCTTGGGCCCTGCACCCCATGGGAGGCCAGGATAAGTACCTGGCTCCTGCCATCAGATCAGCACAGTGCGCCGGCCACAGAGCGCTGGCCGCGGCGGCCATTGGTGGGTGAACCAACGGCAAAAGGAAGACCTTTCTCTCTGTCTCTCTCACTGTCCACTCTGCCTGTCAAAAAAAAATAAATAAGTAAATAAATAAAGATAACCCTAGAAGAGAGAATCTATAAATTGTGTTAATCAAAATTGGAAATTTTTGCTATCAAAAGACACCTTTAAGAAAATAAATAGAATTCAGACTGGGAGAAAATATTTGCAAAACAGACACCTGACAAACACTGGTGACCACCTTGTGTTAAAAAACTCTTAAGCCTCAATACTAAAGACCTGCAATCTAATTAAAATATAGATAAAATATTTGATTAGACATTTTAGAAAATAATGTGTGCAAGTGCTCAATAAGCACAGGAAACTGCTGAACATTATGTTAGTTGTCAGGGAAATGCAAATTAAAGCATAATGAGATACTACACCTATGAACCTTGACAGGCAAAAATGCTAAAATTAAAAGCACTGGCAATATGAAATAATATCCAAAATTTGGAAGTACAAGAAATCTCAGACACTAGTAATGGAAGTGTAAAATTGTACTACCTGATAAATGTTCTGCTGTCTTTATTTTTTTTTATCAAATGACCTATCCTATTTCTAGATATTTACACAAAAGAAGTTAAAACATGCTTTCACAAAAACTATTACATAGCAACTTTATTCATGATTACCAAAAACAGGAAAAAGCCAAAATCTTCATCAATAAGAGAATGGATAAGTAAACAGTATCATATTTACCCTTTGGAACACTATGACTCAGTAAAAAGGAACAAAGTGATAGGCCATCACATAGACAAATCTTAAAAACATCGTGCTGGGTGGAAGAAGGCTTCTCAATGAGCATGTGCTGTATGATTTGATGTACATTTGTTTGCTGTTTGGGATGGCAGAAGTGCCATGGGGTGGAAGACTGTTAGAAATGTCATTACTTATTATGGGGATAGGGTAGCATTGCCTGGAAGGAACCTCGGGAACTTGCTGGGGTTGGGATAATGTTGTTATGGAGTTCCAAGTGTTTGTTCATCTCACGAATGAGATGCTTAAGATTTGTATGGTTATTTAGTCTAACTTTTACGGGAAAATAAAATAATTTGAGCTTTAGCTCTTCAGAGAGTAGTATAACAATGCCTACAGCTTAGTTGGAAATGTTTCAGTAAAATGAGCTGAGGTGGGAACAGTAGGGTGATACATGAATGATAAAGCAATTACAAGCAGTGGTATTTGTAGACTCTTGGGGGTATGTGGATGTTTACAGTATAATTCTTTTAAATTTTCTATAAAATTTGAACATTTTGCCAATGAAGGTTAGAAAACATGTTTAATAGGATTTTTAATCATGAAAATGATATATGCTTAACAAAACTTCTTGGAAAACAGAAAATAACAGGAATCAATGTTTATCCATTGTCTAATCATCCAGAAGCTTATAATGGTTAGGATCAAATTTTATATGCTGTTTATATCTCACTTCTTTCCCAATAAACTTTATACCATGTCACTTCTACTACCAGAGGATATTCTTCTGAGCTAATACAAAATAGCTTACTAAAACATCCTCCCCATATTGTGTGCTTAGATTGTTTTCCATGTTTTTCTAATGCACTGCTATAATTGGTATCTTTGTACAAAAATTTTTGCTATATGTTTCAGATTATCTCAATAGGCTGGATCTTCATAAATGAAAACACCTTATCAAACGGTGTGAAAAGTTTCAAAGTTCTTCATAGGTACCATCAAATTGTTGACTCTGCCATCTTTTTCTTTCCAGAATAGTTCCTGAGATACCTCTGCAGAACAATGAAAACACCACTGATCTAAAATGTTCAAGTCACTCACTGACATATATAAAAATAGATTTTTTGTTTAACTTCTGTGTCATCCCAAGGTTCAAGGAGGTTTAGTAATTAGCCCAAGGCCCCAGCTAGTGAGAAGCAGAGCCAACATTTTGACCTGTATATGTTGAGGTAGCATCCAGGACAGAAAGATGCTTAATAATGTTTATTAGGCCGGCGCCTTGGTTCACTAGGCTAATCCTCTGCCTGCGGCACCAGCGCCCCGGGTTCTAGTCCCAGTTGGGGCACCAGATTCTTTCCCGGTTGCTCCTCTTCCAGTCCAGCTCTCTGCTGTGGCCCGGGAAGGCAGTGGAGGATGACCCAAGTGCTTGGGCCCTGCACCCGCATGGGAGACGAGGAGGAAGCACCTGGCTCCTGGCTTCAGATAGGCACAGCACGCCGGCCGTAGCAGCCTGTGACCCAGTGGAAGGAAGACCTTTCTCTCTCTCTCTCTCTCTCTCTCTCTCTCTCTCTCTCTAACTCTGCCTGTCAAAAAAAAATAATAAAAATTTAAAAAATAAAAAAATTATTAAATGAACATGTAGATAAATGAAGGCACCAAGAACTTAAATCCATTAGAGCATTACATTACATTACATTACAATCCATTAGAGCAAATACACATTTCCTGTGTATTTACCTTCAGAACTTCCCAGAGCTTCTTGTTGATATTAACTTGGATGTTGCTGTCCTTTGTCTACTGGTTTGTTTCCTCTGTCCATCCCTACCTCATGTACAAGAAACAGCCTTGTGTTTTCCTGTGGCTCAGGCCCCAGAGCTGAATGTAAAGCTGATGTGTTACACATTGTTACTGGTCTACTGTTGGAAATGTGGCCCAGATCCCAATAACATGAATATCCTGACTGCTCTTAGCTTGTGAGCCTCTGGTGGTATTTGCTGAAGGATCTGTATATAGCATGTGATTCTCTCCTCCGAGGGCAGAGTGGGCTGTAGACTTCTACAGGTGGAGATGAGAGGGGCTTATGCTTTTCCCTAGTGTCTCCTGCAGCAGGCCTGGGGCGAGGGTACTGGGACTGTGCAGGCAGCAGCTCCCTAGTGCCTGGCATCATCTCCTGCAGCAGGCCTGGGGCGAGGGTACTGGGACTGTGCAGGCAGCAGCTCCCTAGTGCCTGGCATCATCTCCTGCAGCAGGCCTGGGGTGCGGGTACTGGGACTGTAGAGGCAGCAACTCCCTAGTGCCTGGGCATCATCTCCTGCAGCAGGTCTGGGGCGGGGGTACTGGGACTGTGAAGGCAGCAGTTCCTCTGTGATTCCAGAGGCTGAGAGGGTGGCTGGCGGATTAGGATGTGGCCTTTTTCTAGATGAGACTAGATGAGGAGAGGGTCACTTCTTGTACAATCAAATCCAGGAGGAGGTTTATTTGTCTTTGTTTATAAGGAAGGAAATGAGACTAAGGAGTCCTTATTTGTTACAATTCTCTGATCAGAGAAAGAATCAAGTATTGCTGTGAGCAGCTGCGCACTCTCTTGCCGTATATAAAAGGGAGAAAGAATGATGCGGCTTCAATTCTGGAGGCGACAGTTGATTACGTGAAGTATGTCCGGGAGAAGATCCCTCCAGCCATTTTGGGCCAGGTATTCTGTTCCTGAAGCCTTGACTTTCTCCTTATAGACTATACCGTCATGCTACAATTTTTGTTTTTATCATTGTAAATGTGTCTTTTTAGATAATGTAAAAATATTCATCGCTATCTAAATCTATTTCTGTCTATCCATCTTTGTATTTTTAGATTACAGAAGCACTTCAGAGCAATAAGAGGTTTTCTAAGAAGCAACAAGTGACCACTCAGCTCTCCTTCCCAGGCACAGTCATGGCACAGAGGTATGATCAAGGCCCCTGGGAATCTGAGGTCTGCTCGTCATTTTCCTCCTGCCATTGCTAGATGTGCAGATAGGAACTGAGCGAACCACAGTGAAAGCTCGGATATTAACAGTGCGCTTTTCCCATTGCAGATGTGTGTAATTCACTACAGTGACACACCCTCAGATCCACAGGCCTCTCATCATTTTTTATTTTATTTCAGAATAGTTTTAAATTTACAAAACAAAAAGTATGAGGCTGTAATACAAGCAGTTCCTATATATCGCTCATCACGTTTCCCCTATCAATATCTCATGTTATTGTATTTATCACATTAATGAACCACATCTAATTTCCCCTATATTTTTTAATTCAAACTCCTTTATCCCTGCTACCCCTCTAAGCCTTTAGTAATCATCCTGTGTTCAGTTGAGTTGTTTGTGCTACACAGTATTTGTCTTTCTGTGACTGGCTTATTTCACTCAACATGATGTCCTCCAGTTCCATTCATTTTTGCAGCAAATTTCAGGATTTTATTCTTTTTTTAATAGCTGACTAATGTTCCATTATATGTATATACACCACCTGTTTTAAAGATAGATTTATTTGTTTATTTATTTGAAATGCAGAATTATAGAGAGAGGAGAGACAAAGATCTTCCAAACACTAGTTCACTCCCCAAATGGCCGTAACAGCAAGGTCTGAGCCAGGCTGAAGCCAGGAACTCCATCCAGGTCACCCACATAAGTGTAGGAACCCAAGGACTTGGGCCGTCTTCTACAGGCACATTAGCAGGGAGCTGGATGGGAAGTGAACCAATTGGGACTCAAACCAGTGCCCATGTAGGATTGCAGGTGGCAGCTTAACCTACTACACCACAATGCTGGCCCTAGTAAACCACATCTTCTTTATCCATTTATCTGATGATGGGCACCTTGGTCAATTCCCTGTCTTAGCAATTGTGAGGAGTGTTGCTATAAATATAGTGGAACAAATATCTCTTCAATGATGAATGCACATATTTTGAGTAAATAACCATTAGTGGGATTTCTAGATCATGTGGCAGTTGCATTTCTAATTTTTTAAGAAATCTCCATTTTTTTTATAGTGGCTGTACTAATTTACATTCCAACCAACAGTGTATGGGAATTCCCTTTTTCCAATCTTTGCCAGCACTTATTGCTCTTTGTCTTTTAGATAATAGCTGTTCTGACAGGTTTGAGGTGATATCTCAATGTGATTTTGATTTGCTTTTTTCTAATGGATAGTGATATTGAGCATTTTTTTCATATATTTGTTGGCCATTTATATTTCTTCTTTTGAGAACTGTCTATTGAGGTCCTTTGCCCATTTCTTAACTGGATTGGTTGTTTTTCTGTTGTCAAATTATTTTTTTTTTGTTACTGATATATTCTGGATATTAGTCTTTTGTTAGATAATGAGCTTGCAAATATTTTCTCCCATTCTGTCAAATGGGAGAAAATGTCTACACTCTGTTGATTATTTCCTTTACTTTGCAGAAACTTCTAAATTTGATATAATGCCATTTGATTAGTTTTTCTTCTGTTGCCACTGGTTTTGGGGTCTTATCCAGGAAGTCATCAGCTGGATCAATGTCTTGAGGTGCTTCCCCTATGTTTTTTCCTACAAGTTTCATAGTTCCCTGTCTTACATTTAGGCCTTTGATCCATCTTGAGTTGATTTTTATATATGATGAGAGGCAGGGATTTTTTTTTTAAAGATTTATTTTATTTATTTGAAAGGGTAACAGAGAGAGGTAGAGACAGAGAGGTCTTCCATCTGATGGTTCCCTCCCCAGATGACTGCAATGGCTGGAGCTGCGCCGATCCGAAGTCAGGAGCCAGGAGCTTCTTCCGAGTCTTCCACATGATGCAGGAGCCCAAGAACTTGGGCCACTTCTACTGTTTTCCCAGCCCATAACAGAGAGCTAGATCGGAAGAGGAGCAGCCAGGACTATAACCGGCGCCCATATGGAATGCCGACACTGCAGGCCAGGGTGTTAACCTGCTGCGCCACAGCGCTGGCCCCTAGAGAGGCAGGGATTTAATTTCATTTTTCTACATGTGTATTTCCAGTTTTGCCAGTGCCATTTATTGAAAATACAGTTTTTTCCTTCAATGTATGTTCTTGGCACCTTTGTGAAAAATCAGTTGGCTGTATATATGTGGTTTAATTTCTGGGCTCTCTGCTCTGTTCCACTGATCAATGTGATGTTTTTATGCCAGCACCATGTTTGTTTTTTTTTAATATTTATTTATTTATTTGAAAGGAGAGAGAGAGTCTTCCATCTGCTGGTTAACTCCCCAGATGGCTGCAATGGCCAGAGCTTTGCCAATCTGAAGCCAGGAGCCAGGAGCCTCCTCCAGGTCTCCCAAGCGGAGCACCATGCTTTTTTAATTACTGTAGCTTTCTGGTGTGTTTTGAAATCAGGTGTTGTGATGGCATCAGCTTTTTCTTGTTTTGTTTTGTTTTTGGCTCAAGATCACTTTAACTATTCTGGGTCTTTTATTATTCTATTTGAATCTTAGGATTACTTTTAATTCTATAAAGAATGTAATTGGTTTTTTGATAGCAGTTGCATTGAATCTGTAGATTGCTTTAGGTAATATAGAGAGTTTAATTACCTTAATTATAAGAAGGAAAAATTTTCCATTTTTTGTGTTTTTTAAAAATTTTTAGAATTTATATAGGGTTTTTGTGTGTTTTTTTTTTTTTTTTTTTTTTTTTTTTTTTTTTTTTTTTGACAGGCAGAGTGGACAGTGAGAGAGAGAGACAGAGAGAAAGGTCTTCCTTTTGCCGTTGGTTCACCCTCCAATGGCCGCCGCGGCCGGCGCGCTGCGGCCGGCGCACTGTGCTGATCCGATGGCAGGAGCCAGGAGCCAGGTGCTTTTCCTGGTCTCCCATGGGGTGCAGGGCCCAAGCACCTGGGCCATCCTCCACTGCACTCCCTGGCCACAGCAGAGAGCTGGCCTGGAAGAGGGGCAACCGGGACAGAATCCGGCGCCCCTACCGGGACTAGAACCCGGTGTGCTGGCGCCACTAGGCGGAGGATTAGCCTAGTGAGCCGCGGCGCCGGCGGGTGTTTGTGTTTTTAATAATTTCTTTCATCAATGTTTTATAATTTTCATTGGAGACATCTTTTACTTCTTTGTTGAAATTTATTCCTAAATATTTTATTTTTTGGTAGCTATCATGAATAGAATTAATTTCTTGATTTCTGTTTCAGCAAGCTAATGATTGATGTATAAAAATGCTACTGTTTTTATATATTTATTTTGTATCCTGCCACCTTACTGGTTTATCAATAAGGTGGAGTATTATGATTTTTCCATGTATAACATCATATCATATGCAAACATGGATACGACTTTTTTCCTTTCCAATTTCGATTCCCTTTCTTTCTCCTCCCTAATTGCTCTTGTTAAGACTTCCAGTGCTATATTGAAGAAGAGTGGTGACAATGGACATCCTTGTCTTGTTCCAGATTCACCCTTACTTCTCTGTTTGTTATTTCTGAGGCTCTTAAAATGAGGCCTCGCTGCTCATGACTATAGTGATAGGAAATCCACTTTGGCACTGTATTCCTGTGTCCAAGGAGTTGTAGTCGCTGGAGCATCCAGCTCTAGTTCAGTTAGCAGTCCTTAGACTCCTTAGTCCAGTGTGGTGTGCCCAGTAATTGCTTACTTATTTAGATGTATTGGAATATGTACATAAAGAAAAACTCTTGTTCTGATGCATCCTTAACAAATCATCATGAATCCTGTTCAGCCCTGCATTCTCATACTTAAGTAGTATCTAGTTGAGGCTCTGCCTGTGTTGTTGAGAACGTAAATGGGAGAAAAACAGCTGAAGTCAGAGATACTCATATTGTCTTCCCAGAGAATTATGCAAAGTATTTTTTATGTCTTTTCAAGGGACAGCAGTGTATTGACAAGCAATTACTCACCTATGAGAGGCATCAAATTCCTGGCAAATAAGTGCCTGAATGTGTATCCTGTTCCTGCTGCAGGGAGCTCCTTGGATGAAGCTGTGAGAGGTGAGTGCTGCCTGATGCTTGCATCACTCACAGGGGTGTGTGGGCCTGCAAGGATGCCCTGCTCACACCTGGGTTCCTATGCATTCTCTGATAACCTGGAAAATTATATCGTGAGGCCTGTTGACTGTCAGCTTGAAGCACACAGGTGTCATGGACATTTGGTTAGTGTCATCCCAGAAATGGGCCCCAAGTGAACCATGATCCCAGAGAGTTCATCCTAATAATAGATGAGAAGCTCGCTGGTGACTTTCCAAAATGAATAGAATCTAAAGGAGACAAAGGTATAGTCATCTATCAGCCTAGGGATGGTTCTAGGACACCCTTCCCTAGATACCACACTCCACGGACGTTCAGATCCCTTGTATGCAGTGGTGTAGGACTTGTGTATAACCTACACACATCTACCTGTATGTTCTACATCATCTCTAGAGTACTTAGGCATCTAAAACAATGCAAATGCTGTGCAGAGAGTAGTTATTTAGGGATAATGACAAGAGGAAGAAGTCCATCCATATTCAGTGTAAGGTACAGTCCCCCCCACCCTCCCCCCCCCCGAGAATTGTTGGTCTGCAGTTTCTTACATCTCTGGTGTGTGCAGAGAGTTGACTGTATTCCTGTTAGTTTAGTACTGCCTGTGGTGGACATTAACATGTTAACTTATTTAGCTCCTTAAATGTCACCTTCTCAGTGAGTCCTTCTCAGCTACCTAGTGACAACAGCACTCCTCCCCACCACACATGTAGTGCACTCCATAATTTCACCCACTTTCCTCTGCTGTATTTGTCTTCATAGCCCCTAACACCTGCTAATATTCCTCATATATTTTGCTTATTACCTCTTCTCTCTCATCAGAATGTCAGCTCCATGACAGCAGTCATTTTCCCTATACTGGTCATTGCTGTAGTTGTAATACGAAAAGCTCTAACCAGCACATAATAGGTACTCAAGAAATACTCATTATGCAGTATTCCTTATGGAACACGTTCACTCACCAAGAGGCATTTTTTGTCAAATGGGTTATATAAGCCTAGGATGCTTATGTACTTACAAGAAATAAGAACGGGGGCTAACTAGAACCAGAAGGAAAAAACAGTGACCAATGTGTGACTTTTGCATTTCTGAAGGTTACTCGCCATTGAGAAGCCATAAGATATGGCCCTCCTAGCCTGAGTGTTAGATGCTAGATGACAGGAAAGCCTATCTCTTCAGCCTGTTAGTCTTAAGTGACCCATGACCAACTTCCTCCAGGGATTCTGCCCTCACTCAACACTGCCCCAGTGCAGGGAATGCCATTCCTTACATCTTTTCCCCCGCTGATGTCAAGTCCACTCCCTTGTTCCCAGCTTCAGTGTCCCTGCTCAAAGATGATGACACAAGGGTGAATAAGATGCAGTTCTCATTCTTACAGAGCTCCTAAGTTAGTGGCAGAGTCACAGAAGCCAAACATGGTCCACACAGTATTTTCAGTTCTATGGTAAAGGTGCAATGCGTGTTTGGGAAAACAGTTGGAGCCACAGGAAGAAATGAGGTTTCTAGGGTTGGTGTCTGAAGTCAGCAGAGAAAGCCAAAAACAGAACAACACAGCTTCCTTTTTCATATAATCAAATAAGCCTCGAGTTGTTTTATTACTACATTTAGACTTTTTTCCTGACCTATGCAAGAAGGGAGGATAGAAAAAAGTTGCCATGAGCCTTGGTTAAACTACTTTATGTAGCTATGGCTGAATATAACATGGGATGATCAAATCAACCCTGATTAAATCAGATGCGGCTCAGGCCACAGGCATATGCCTGTCAAAGGTATTTCTTGTACATCCAGTGCTATTTATACTCTTGAGAAACTCTGAAACATCCTGATCATGGCAGTGAGTTCAGGCTTTTGCATGCCTCAGTGTCTTATGGCATTGCATCAGCTGAAGAGATAACTCTTGGGAAGAATCAAATATACTGGGACCACAGACTTATGGCTTGTTCAAAACAAAGGAGACCTTGGAGGTCAATGCCTCTAACCTTCCATTTCATTTTTTAAAATCTTTTAGAAAAAATTTTATTTATACAAATGGGACAAATTTTATGTACAGTTTTAAGAACAGAATGAGGGCCAGCCCCGTGGCTCACTTGGTTAATCCTCCGCCTGCGGCGCTGGCATCCCATGTGGGCGCTGGGTTCTAGTCCTGGTTGCTCCTCTTCCAGTCCAGCTCTCTGCTTTGGCCCAGGAGGGCAGTGGAGGATGGCCCAAGTGTGTGGGCCCCTGCACCCGCATGGGAGACCAGGAGGAAGCTCCTGGCTCCTGGTTTCAGATCAGTGCAGGGCTGGCCTTGGTGGCCATTTGGGGAGTGAACCAACAGAAGGAAGACCTTTCTCTCTCTCTCTCTCTCTCTCTCTCACTGTCTATAACTCTACCTGTTAAAAAAAAAGAATATAATGATACTGCCAACCCTATCCCTATCACTCTCCCCCTCCCTTTTTTGTTTGTCTTTTAATTTTTGCAATGACATATTTTCAGTTTACTTTATAATCACAAATGTAATCCTCTGCTAAATAAATAATTCAATAAGTAGTAACTAGTAAAACCATTGTTCCTCAGGAGTATAGACAAGGACTATAAACAATAATCAAATGCCAGAATGTCAATTTCACTCATATATATTAAATTTTTTGTACTCTGAATGGTGGAGTTAGAAACGTGCCAGGGGATTCCAATACAATCTCATCAAGGTGGCATGTACCAATGCCATCTCACTAGTCCAAGTGATCAATTTCTGTTCACAGTTGATCACACTGATAGGTCTAAGAGTCAAAGGGATCACACAAACAAGACTAGTGTCTGCTAATACTAGCTGATAGAATAAAAAAGGGAGAGAACGATCCAACATGGAAAGTGAGATACACAGCAGACTCATAGAATGGCAGATGTCCTTAATAGCACCTGGCCTCAGAATCAGCCCTTAAGGCATTCGGATCTGGCTGAAGAGCCCATGAGAGTATTTTAGGCATGGAAAGCCAAGACACTCTGGAAAAAAAAAAAAAAGACGACCTAAATGAAAGATCTCTGCGAGTGAGATCCCAGTGGAAAGAACGGGCCATCAAAGAAGGAGGTACCTTTCTCTGAAGGGAGGAGAGAACTTCCACTTTGACTATGACCCTGTCGGAACTGTCAGAATAAGATTGAAGTCGGCGAACTCAAAAGGCTTCCATAGCCTTGGCAACTCATGACTAGAGCCTAGGGAGATTACTGACGCCATAAACAAGAGTGTCAAATTGTTAAGTCAACAACAGGAGTCACTGTGTACTTACTTCTCATGTGGGATCTGACCTTAGTGTGTTGTCCAATGTGAAGTAATGCTATAACTAGTACTGAAACAGTATTTTACACTTTGTGTTTCTGTGTGGGTGCAAACTGATGAAATTTTTACTTAATATATACTAAATCGATCTTCTGTATATAAAGATAATTGAAAATGAATCTTGATGTGAATGGAATGGGAGAGGGAGTGGGAGATGGGAGAGGTGCGAGTGGGAGGGAAGTTATGGGGCGGGGGAAGCCATTGTAATCCATAAACTGTACTTTGGAAATTTATATTTACTAAATTAAAAAAGAAAAAGAAAAAAAAATTTTTGTACTCTGTGTATTAGTTACCACAAATCATGGAAAACTTGATAGTTTTCTTTTCGGGACTGGCTTATTTCACTAAGCCTAATGGTCTCCAACTACATTTATTTTGTCGTGAATATACATTTTTCCATTTGAAAAGCAGAATGGATCCTTTACTGACCCTGGTAAGCTAATCCTTGTGTTCGTTTTGCATTTCCTTCATGTCTTTTTCCGGTTTATGTTTTCCTATATTGGCAACCTTATGTAGACATCTTGTTTTGTCTACTGATGCTTTTACTTTATGTCATATGTACTTTAAGTTGTGAATCCCTCCTCACCATTTTAATGGTTTTAATAGTTTATCACATGATTTAGTAATTTCCTTAACTATCCAATTGCTATATATAGCAGTTTGAGGGGAGAGTGAGTTTGTTTATCATGTGATTGGAAATACTTTCCTATATATAGTTTCTTCTATTTTGGACTTTTCCTCGGGCTGGATTGTGAGTAGTCTGTGAGTGAGTTAGAGAACAGAAAACATGAGCATATATATATATATAGAGAGAGAGAGAGAGAGAGAGAGAGAGCTCTTAATGCATGTTGCCAAATTGATTTTGAAAGATCAGAAGAGTTGCAATCAGCTTAAGTCTTCCAAACTTCACTTTCACTACCCAGATCAGAAAACTGCAGGGTGGGGAAACTAAATGACCACCCAAAGTCCCAAGGATTCTGCATTAAGCCTGATCTGTAACACAGATAAGTTTAGACTTCATCAGCTTGCTCATCTGTGTTCTTTCCTGTAAATCCCTAACATACTTGCTTAAGCTGTTTTTCACAAATATTCTAGAGACATTAGTATTTAAAGTACACATAAAATTCTGTTATTTTGCTTGCATTATTACTCATGCCTGAAAGAAAATAGTTATTCAGTGTTTCTTGAGATTATATTGTTAACATTGTACATTTAAAGTTGTGTTGTCTTCTAGTTATTATGCAGAATTTAGATGTATAATGGTATAACCCACTTCAGTGATGATCAACCAAATGTTACTCATGACTAAACTGAGTTGTTCTTTGCAAAATTCTTCCTTGTGTCATAGGATGCTCCATTTTGACGATAAGGAAAGCCAGACACATGCACACACACACACACACACACACACACACTCCGTATATAGCCCAAAGGGCATAGAGATCTGCTCTGCTAAAAAACCTCTTTTATGACACAGGAGCACTGAGTTACAGTGTGTGTATTGCACTACATGTCACCACTACACCATTCAGCTTGTTTTCCTATCAGCATTTGGGTATAGCTATGGTACAGGTATTAACATAAGTAAATGAAATAGAGAACAATTTATCTCAAATGCAGTAGTCCAGAGTTATAGAATTGTGTATACAGTACTGACAGATATTTATTTTCTTTCTTTTGAAAGGTCAGTCTAGCTCCACTTCAGAGAATGCCGTTGGTGATCTTCGTAAAGCAGCGCTCTCTCTCAATTCCTTCCATGCTGTCAGTTACTATTCTAAAGTCATCCCTTCCTATGATGCAGCTGCCGTAACGAATCAGAACATTTCAATTCATTTGCCACCGGCCGTCCCCAAAGTCTCAACATTTATTCCTCAGCACTGCAATTCCATGTTGGACCAAACGTGCACAACCCATCCCAACTGTCTGGTAAGTATTCAGGAGTCCCTGGGTCAGACTGGACCCTTTTACAGAATGTATTGGGTTTCATTAATACTCTGCTGGGAAGGCTCTTAGACTGGGACCAAGAGCTGTGCTGGTTCCTAAGATTTCGTACCAGGTGCAGCTCACCCAGGCTCTCATTCCTCACGCTGCAGGGCTGCTTTCTAGCGATCCAGAATATCCAGAACCCATGAGTCTGGTGTGACTCTGCTGGGCCTTCCGTGACCAGATGCAGGCTGATTTCCTGTGGAGCTGATTGCCTTTCCTGTCCATCTGCCTGCTGTTACTCAGAGCTTCTCGGATACTACATCTTATTTCACCACCATCATCCCCAGCTGGCCTCAGAACTGGCTGCTGCTTTATCTCTCCGACTGGCAATAGTCCTCACACAAGATCAAAAGCTATTTTTCCAATCACCAACCTGGCTGACTGGGGACAGCAGACATCCTCACGCAGCAGTGTTTATTGAGCACCCACTACGTTCTGGCACTGTGCTCACTCATTGTGCTAAGAATGTAGTCTGAAGACACTCACATGATTCTTGCCTTCAGAAAGTGTGATGAAGTTGCAGACATAGAAGCTGGTGATTGGGATTTGGACTGGAGCACGTAGAAGGAACTTGGGGAAGATTGGAGACTGGTTACCCCAGAAGATGTGCTGACTAAATAAAAATCTAAAGATGAATAATTATCCAGATAGAAGATTCAGAGTCACAGGTAGGGAGGGCAACAGCATCGCAGGCTGATTGATTAGTGTATATAAACGGAGGCATCTTAGTTCTCTGTTAGAACTGTGTAATTCTAGTGGAAGATCCAAACCAGATTGGCTTGCTTACAGTGAATTTCCGATAGCCTTAATATAGTTGCTAATACTTTTGGATATTAATAATAGCTAACATGTTTTGAGCACTCAATAAGTAATATGCCAAATACTTTATGTACTTAATGTGGCTGATCTAAATGAATTCCTCAAGCAATGCTTTGGAGGTAGGTACTGTTATTATCTCCATATGACATCTATAAAATGAGAATAATAGTTATTCCCAAAAACATTCATGAGAAAAATATTGAAAATAGAATATAAGGAAATGTTAAAACATGATGTTTCAGATTTTAACTTTTATTCATTTTTTTTTTCATTTTTAATTGAAAGACTGATGGAGAGAAATAGAGAGACAGACAGAGGTCTTCCACCTTCTGGTTCACTTCCCAGATGCTCACAATAGCTATGGCTGGGCCAGCCTGAAGCCAGGACCTAAAACTCAGTTCAGGTCTCCCACGTGTGTGGCAGGGGTACAACCATTTGAGCCATCATCTTCTGTTTCCATGGTACACATTAGCAGGAAGCTGCTGGATCTGAAGTAAATAGCTGGCACTTGAACCAGGCACTGTGATGTGGGATGCAGGCTTCTCCAGCAGCAACTTAACCACTGTACCAAACACCTGCCCCTCGACAGATAGTGTAATGCTGCTAATGATCACCAGTATTCCTGCAGACAGACTAGGGTAAATGTAAGAAAAGGTTAAAACCTTGTTTTTTAAATTGTTGATCCATCCTTACTTTGTGTGGTTTTTGTTGCAGAATTGTTGTGAGGAAATAATCACTTTAATAATAATAAATAACATGTTTTTATGGCCTGAAGGTTTATTCACCGGCAGATTCCACATGATTTTATAAATCATTTTATATTGTTTTAGGACCTGGAAAATACACTTGTGACATTAGAGCAATAGGCCAGGATTCAATTAATGTGGTTTGTTTTTCCTCCTTTGCAGCAACAGTTTTGGGCATATTAATAGCACATGTTTTAAATTCACACTCTAGTCCCCCTGCTGGGTGCAGCTTGACAACACTGGAAGAGTGGAACAAAGAATGAGTTTGAAAGCTATACCCAGAGACCTAATATCAAAAGAGTTGGCCTTGTGTGGCTTCTGATAAATGTGTGAAAAGCTCCTACAGATGGAAAGACAGGTGGCAAAAGTGCTAGCGGTGCACTGTCACTTATCTTCATACATGCTTGCATCTCCCCCAACCTGAGAGCAGCAAGAACAAATGGCCTCAGTGACCCTCACTCCTTTGTGTCCTCGAAAAATATTCCACATGTTATGAAAAAAGCATACTAATGAAGACCCATGTGGACTTGATAAAGTGATAAGATTGGGAAGGTACATTGATAAGCCTGTGTCACAGAGTACAGGTGCTGCCATGTGATTCTTATTTTTAGTATCCCCGTGAATTGCTGCCACTTATTTCTAGGTGATATCTTTTGTAGATTGGACATTTTAGAGAGCTTCCTTCTTTATTCACCATCCACACTGAGGTATCTAGAGAGACTCTGAAGGAGGTGATTACCTCCTCACTTGACTACTAGAGAATAAATTGATGTGTTTACTTTTGCATTTCACCATCCTTTGCTTGAAATGACACCTAACAGATACATTTTGCTTTGAATCTTTGGTGGCAGACTTTTGCTTTCTTTATTTTTCTCCTTGCCCTCCCTGTGAATACTATGTTAAAAATAAGGGGAGAAAAATGTTTGTTTTATATTTCACTAAAATATTCTTATGCATAAGTTTTATTGTTAAAGCAAATACTACTGTTTTGACTGTGAAAATGGTAATCCATTTTTGTTTAATAAACATGTGTTCCCTCTTTTAGTAGGACTATGTAGAGAATTTACTAACTTTTTGTTTGAGAAAGTTAATTACTTTAGGCTTATCCTAATTTTCAGATTAAATTATATAACTTTTCTTTGAGGGTGCCAAGATGATGGAACCTGTAGATACTTACCGTACTTTATAACGGAACTAGAAGTTCCCAACTAATGTTCAATGCTTAGTACTGCCAATGGGTGTCGATTCTTCATGTGCTGGGCTGTAGGAGTCATTATTTTGACACTGGAAGCAAACCTACTGGAATATTTTGGAAACTGGGACTACAGCCTGTGTTCTCAGCTGGTCTCAATTGCTGCTGGGACATTGCATCCCGATTTCTCTAGATCCACATGTGGACTGGGAAAGACACCTGTGGCCAGGAATTCCTCAAAAGAGAACCTAGAGAGTGTGACCCCTAGAGCCATCTGTTTATTTGCTAAACTCAGAACCCTTTTATTTTTTGAACATGAAAAAGAGGCTACCAGATCCATTGTTAAAACTGTTTATTCACGGTCAGTTACCACAATCCTGTATGCCATGCAAGTGTTCAAATTCATTTTTAAGATGTGGATTTAGTTTATAATAAATTATTCTCTTCCAAGTAAACTCAACTTTCAGCCAAGGAGGAGAGCTTAACCGGGCCTCAGCCCATAGAAATAGAGCAGGATTTTCTTTATAAAATCAAATTTGTTGGTCATGCATAATGAAAATGATATAGGAACCTTGCCTTGAAAATGTGACAGCTTATGTGATTAACACTGGTGGTAGCAGAGTTAGCACGACTTGGCAGCTGATTCAGTGTTGGAGTTGTTAGAAAGGGCCAAGAGCTAACAATGACAGCAAGGTTGCTGGCTTCAGTAGCTGAATGGATAGACTTGATATTTGCTCAGAAAACACAAGGAAATGAGCACTTTGTGGGATTGCACTAGAAGATGATAATTTTATCTGGGGACATGTTGCAGTAGAGACGTTTGTTGGATATCCTAGTAAAGGTAGCCAAATACATTCAGGTATGAACAGCACAGGCAGGAGGTCTGGATGATGATGTGATTTGGGATGTCATCAGCCCTGGGAGGGGATGCTGAAGTAAGGGATTCAAACATTAAATGGTGGTAGGGCCCAGATAACCCAGTAAGACTTTGTAATCCTGAATTCTGCTTTGCTATGTGGATCATTATCTTCTTCATGTAATTGGGTGCCCAAGGACACATGACTTTGCAACTTACCAGAGACTAGGAGCTTATGGGTAAAACCCTCAAAGGCAGAGCACACAAGTTTCCATTGGTAGCTGTGGTTGTTGACTTTTTTTTTAATTATGAGAAATTAAATTTCTCTGAATTTCTAGCTCCTGAAAAATCCAAAACATAGGCATTACTGGATCTTGTTTCTAGGATGACAAAATAGCAACAACCTTCTCAGGCTGAGGATTGCCTACACAGGTTATCAGTTTCCATTTGGTCACTCCTCTCACAAGCCTGCCTCACGCATTGAAATGACTCACCTGGTCCCTGTGGATATTCCAGTTTAACTCCTGATAGGACAGTAGTTCTCCTATACAGGGAGGAGGAAACTTGTTAAAAATACAACTTCTTAGTCCTACCCACAGGTTCAGATTTGGTAGACCTCACTGGCCTGGTACCTAGGAATTTGCATGTTAACATATGCTGCAAGATGTATTTGTGGATATCTAATTATCCTGCTTAAAAACACCTAATGCACATAAGTGGCTAAAACTATCCATAGGGGACAGAAAACCAAAATAGAAACAAACTAAAGCCATATACCATTGACTTCCAAAACTGACAGTGCATCAGAAGTACTTGTACATTTATTAAAACCATACATTTCAGTTCTCTCTACCCCACTGATACAGACTCTGTAGTTAGAATGGGGCCCAGTATGCTGCATAGAATGATTCTGATGTAAAATCATGTTTGGGAGCCACTGTTGCACTTGTGACAGGCTAATCAAGTGCATATTGAGGACTGAAGTCAGGAGGAGGCGAAGCATGAACCCAGCCCTCCTAAATTGAGGGACACGGTGGAGAAAAGATTGGCTTCCACATGGCAGATGCAGAAGCTTCTGCTACGAAAGTGAGTTGCAGAAATCATCTTGGGGATTTATACAATGAGGTAGCACCATCGGGGGAAATTCCTGGGTGGGTGTGGATGCAGGGCGTTTTGAGTAGGTATACCTAAGAAGCGTGAAAACCAGGTACGTTTATCTAGAAAGCAGTGGAAACCTTATGATATAAGGAGGTACTCTTGATTTTTATTAGATATTTTATGTTTTGTAAAATTTCTCTAAAGGTATTACTGAAATAGAATGCCACTTAATGTAGAATAATGAGCACTGGGTATATCATTTCTATGAAGGGCATTGCCATAGCAAAATCTGGCAATCATAACCCAAGCCTCCTGGCATTTTTCTGTCTGCCTATCAAGTGTGCCAATGGTCTCCCCTTTCCTTCTGTGCATCTCTCTGTTACATGGAATGAGGAAGCAGGAAGCCCACAGATCACCTTGGTTAATCTGGTATCAAGAGCCCTTTTCATCACCATGGAAACATGACACTCCTATGGAAGACAGAGAAGTTTCTTATCTCTGTATTATTCAAGATTGTTTTTACATCAAAGAATAATGTTCCTTCTGAAAACAACACACACACACATGATTGTATTACCTAATATCACATGTTGCTGTGTTTTATTCCCCAGACTCTGGTAAAAATATTTGTTAAATTTTTTCTCTAGAAGATGACAAAATAGGTGGGCTTGAGTGCTGCTGGTAGAAATTCCCTGGTTAGCATGTGAAAAATGGTCTGCTAAACTGTATCCCAAGAAATCGTTTCTGCTTCTTTCTTTCCCAAGCAATCCTTGGGAAGGCTATGTGAGGTATTGGGAGTGATGGTATTGTATAAAAAAACATAATTTTGCCTCTTGTCTCAGGCCATTTCCTCATGTCACTCAAAAGAATAGCCAATTTTTTTTAAATGTCATAGCTTGAGGCTTATGAGATCCTATGCCACTTTTACACTCAGTGACAGGTACCAACATTGCAAGCAACTTGCAGATTGTTTTCCCCGTGGACCTGAATTTGAAGTCAATTTTGAACTGGAAATTTATGCACAGAAAAAAACCTTGCCTATGTGCATACTGGGGGAGGTGCACCGAAATGAGCTTACTGATTTTTTTTTCCCCTACTGCTTTGCATCCTACTGGTTCTCTCATGTTGTGGTACTCTAAGACTCCTGAACCCATTTTATAGAGCTTTAAGGAAGGGGTAGAAAAAAACCCACAGGATTTATATCCCTGGAGTAACTACTTGTTTCTTTAATACTTTAGATTTTATATACTATAATCAGAAAGGTGGCCAATACTGTTGATTTTTATCTCCTAACAGAACACTGTAATTTACCTAGCCCCTATAACCTTCAACTAGTAAAATGATTTTGAATATTTTACTAAAGGAGACATTCTTTAGTACAATAGGAAGTTATACTCTTTTGTAGGGTTAGTGCATCAGGAGCTGGACAGAAATGCCTATAAGCCTTTGATAGAGTTAAGGGAATGGGAGATATTTCAATTAAACTGTTTTTTCTTTAGAAGCAAAAGATGATGTTTGGAAAAATTTGGATATGTACAGGTTGTCTCAGTGGAAGGGGACTTTATAAAGGATTAATCCTAATCTTAGAGAACTGAAAAAGTTCCTCAGGATTAACTCTGAGCACAGAGCACTCTTTTATTGTCTTGAGTCATGTGAGAGAATTGTATATGGGGAAGGGAATTCCTTTCTTGACCATCAGTGCCCTCACCCTGTGAATAAAGAGCCATGAGTTTCAATATAAATATTATTACTGGCCACAAGACCTCACAGCTCCTTAAAAAAAAAAAAAACATAGAATTTGACTGGCAGAGATTGTGTTTACACTTAGTATCACTATCAATTCTCCCTAAAATGGAAAATCTCCAACAAAGAAGGCAATAAAATACAGCTCTCTGGGGCAGGATTGTGTCAGCCTAAGGGGTAGTTACTGTGAGATCATGTTCAGGGATTTGCACTTACAACTTTGGCTCTGAGCCAGCCAAGGCTGGGAAAAATACTCCCTGTTCTCTACTCCAGCGGCCAATGATGTAAATTCACTCCACAAAGAGGCACGTCTGCTGGCCTGGCGTGGCAGAGGTGAATGGGGAGGTGCTTGTATAAATGGTTTTCTTGTTGAGGCCCAAAATAGTTTATGAAAAGGAGGGGCTTAACTAGTATTTTATCACAAGTTAACTGCATTGGAGAAATAGGGTTAAAATGCTAAATCTCAGCTATTAGACTTGGCTTCATGTCATTTGGGTATTTCCTTCAAATGCTAATGAAAGCTGAAGAATACTAATCAGATCCCACTGGCAAAGCCAAGCCATTCATGGCAAGCTTCCAGCTGAACATTATTTTTCACTGTCTACCCTTGGATATTCTGCTCCCACTTAAACAAAGGCAAGGCAAAATCATTGGTGACTGTGTTCTTGCCATGCCCAGGCCCAACCTCCCCAACATGTCCCAGATACCTCACTTTCACATTTCCCAGGCCCTTTGTTTCTGTGTTAAATACAGCCAGGCCTCCATATCATCAGTGCCTGATGCTTGTCCAGATGTTCCTTGTTCACTGTTCAGTGCTGGGCGTGGTGTACCTCACGCTTGGGCCCCCATGCTCCACAGAAGAGGCAGCTAAGTGTCCTGGAATGAGCATGAGGTTGGAAGTCAGAATGGTATCTTGGTATCCTCCATCACTCATTAGTTCCATGTATTTGGATAAATTATTTACCTCCTTGCACCTGCTTTCTGTAGCAGTTCAGATCCTGAAGATTAAAGATAGTGTTTAAAAAGTTCCTGGCATCTACCAAACCCTTACCAAATGATACCTGCCAGTTGCCACCTCCCCTTCCTGCAGTCTGTCTACTCACCGAGACCCTGCACAGAAGGAAAAAGGATCATGATGCTCTGTGCCGTTTTATGATACTCTTCCCCCTTCTGAAGGATCCTGAACAACGAGCATGTGTTGATTCCTCCCGCCTCCCTTCCTTTGTGCTCTCCAGTCAGCAGAGTAAGAACTTCTATGTGACACTCTCTCTCCACCTGCCACCCCTCCCCACAATTCCCGCCAAAGTCAGGCTTAAGCATTTTTGTAGCATAGAGAGAACGTACCCTTTCATAAGACCCTGCATTGCTGAGCATCCCACAGCTGGTTGGTAATCTCAGATTCTGGGCTTCCTCTTCAGCCATCTCACCCCCCTGCCTTATGTCAGAGGCAGTGTGGAAGATGTAGATCTGAATCCCATCTTCATTGCTTCTGGTCTTAACTCAGGACTTGTGAGCAATCATTTATCTGAGCTTCCTTTCTTCTTAACTGCAGGGTGAACATCTAGCTTACACTTTTGTTCTGTGGGTCACAGTAAATACACACAGCATGTTATTAGGGATGGAATGAGTCCTACAATATGGGAAATAAATGAGAAGACTTCTGAAAGCTCATGCTGCAAGAAGAAGATAGCAAGAAAGTAATGGCAGCTATGTTTGGTGAGAGTCTGGTGGATGCTAGGGAATTATGTTTTATAAAGAAATAATGCATATATTTCAAAACTATTGAACTGAAATAATTTTTTTTTTAAAAATTGACACATAAGAGCTACATATTTATAGGGTTTCGTGTGATATTTTGATGCAGGTGTCCATTGTGTAATGTTGAAATTAGGGTAAACATATCTATGTTCTCAAACATTTAACATTTTGTTTTTGTTAACAATCATATCTTCTATGTTTTTTGAAAAATATTTACTTATTTATTTATTTGAAATGCAAAGTGACAGAGAAGGAGAGAGAGAGAGATCTTCTGTTCACTCCCCAAATGGTAATGATGGCTAGGGTTGAGTTAGGTCAAAACCAAGAGCCCAGAATTCCATTTGTGTTTCCCACGCAAGTGGCAAGGGTTTAAGTACTTGGGCCATCTTCTGATGCTTTTCCGGGTGCATTAGCCCAGAGCTGGGTCAGAAGTGGAGCACCTGAGACTTGACCTGGCTCCCTAAGGTGAGATTCTAGCATGGACAGGTGGAAGCTTAACCTGCTGCATTGCTAACACTGGTCCCTGCTAGGGTTTTTCAAAATAGAGAAATGAATAATACATTATCTATATAGTCACCCTACTGTGGTGTAAAACCCCAGAACTTCTTTCCCGTACGTGACTATAATTTGCTACCCGTTAGTCTGCCTTTCCTGATCCCTCACTTCCCCCTTCCTTTCCCAATCTCTCATAACCACAATTATGTTTGTAACTTTTAAAAAAAAAATTATTTGAAAGGCAGAGCTACAGAGAGAGAGAGAGATGGGTCTTCCATCTGCTGATTCAGTCCCCAAGTGGCCATAATGGCTGGAGCTGAGCTGATCCAAAGCCAGGGGCCAAGAGCTTCTTCTGGGTCTCCCATGTGGGTGCAGGGACCCAAGGTCTTGGGCTTCTGTTGCTTTCCCAGGCCATAGCAACAGCTAGATCTGAAGTGGAGTAGCCAGGTCTCAAACCAGCGCCCTTATAGGATGCCGGCACTGCAAGTGGCAGCTTTACCCGCTGTGCCACAGCGCTGGCCCCTGTTTGTAACTTCTAAGAGATCACTTTTCCTTTAAATTCCACATACGAGTGAGATCATACATCATTTGTCTTTTCTGTGCTTGGCTTATTTTACTTAACATAATGACCTCCAGTTCCATTCTTGCTGTTGTGAATGCAAGGTTCCATCATTTTTATGACTTGAATAGTGGGACATTGTGTGTGTGTACCAGTGGATGGATGGACACTTAGGTTGTTTCCATTTCTTGGCTATTGTGTATAGTGCTGAGATAAGCATGGGAGTGCAGATATCTTCTTGACAGAATGATTTCATTTCCCTTAGATCGCTTAATCACATGGTAGTTGTATTTTTACTTTTTCAGGAACCTCCATACTATTTAATAATGACTGTATTAATTTACATTCCTGCCAATAATGTGCAAGGGTTCCTTTTTCTCTACATCCTCGCTAGCATTTGTTATCTTTCGTCTTTTCCATAATGGCCAGTCTAATGGGGTGTCATGATATC